ACTGGTTGTTTACTACAACAGAACAGGTCCTTCGTAAAGTGAAAAGGGCATAAGCAAAAAGCCACGGTCGAGAACGCTACGGACGGATCCATTAACTACCTACCTACCCCAGAGAATCGAACCTCGGAATGGGTAACAAGGCTTCACCAGCGGAGCTCAAGACCCGCAAGAGAGAAGACTATCGTTTCTTCCTCGACTACCGTACGCGATGGTGAGTTTGCGCCTCATTGATGCTTTAACTTAGTTCCCTTAAAGCCGTATCCTTTGCTCCGGATTATTACCATAGCTCATCTCATCGTTTGGCCCATCCCATCCCTACCTTATCTTTGCGAATTGCGGAATGCGTCTACTGTCACAGTGACATCTCTCACGTGTACAAGGGATATGATTTATCGCTTCGATAGACTGACTCCCTTGTTAACAGGAACGACAATGATATGTATGACCACATGAACAATTCCGTTTACAATTTTTTGTAAGTGTGGTCAAAAGCGACGATATCTCTAAGATCTCAAGATCCAGCGAGTAACCCTCAATTCTCAGATTCGACTCTATCATCAACGCATACCTCATTGAGAATTGTGGTCTCCATCCTCCTACAGCACCACAGTTTGGCATGTGCGTGCACACCCACACAGACTATTTCTCCTCCATCGCGTACCCTGCCGTTGCGGAGCTTGCCCTGCGTGTCAACAAGCTAGGTAAATCTAGCGTCACGTACGAGACCGCACTCTTTGAGAAGGGCAAGGAAGAGGTGAAGGCGGTAGGGGAGTTCATACAGGTGTATGTTGATCGTGAGACGAATAGACCCCTAAAGGATGGTATGGCTTCAACGCTTCGTGAGAAGCTGCTAGAGCTGGTCGTTGATAACGATGCAATTATAGCAAAGGCTAAGCTTTAAGGATATATGTAAGCATATGAATGGCTTACATGAGCCCGCCATAATAAAGTAATAATGCTTTAGTGCTATTCGCCTACCAGCCAGTACATCTCAGACCAGGATCATCAAGGCCAAGAGGCTCAGTACTGCGAATTCAGAAAGTCACAGACTTGGCTTGCGAACCCAGTAAAATGTAGTTACATTATTCGGCTAATGTTTCGTTTGTACTACTATTAGCTGCTTTATCTGATGCCTGTTCATATACCTGGCGCAATATTACTATTGTATTCAATGACTTACACACCGACCTATTGCTTGCACCAAAATCCCACCTTCACAACTGGCACTCATACTTCTTAGCCTGCCCTCCATTAAGGCCACTCTCAAACATCAACTCCAAAAATTCGAGATCCGCCAACGCCTCCTCAGCGCTCTGCCTTTTATCCGGCTTTCCCGCAGCCAACGCCTTCGCCCACGCATCAACCTCCTCCGTCACACCGCTCGTCCTCTCAAATTCTTTAACGGCTGGCTCACCATCCCACGGCGTAACGGTCACCTTGTCTCCGTCGACCATCACAGAGCCCTTCTCGTAGCCGAATTGGAATACTGAGGTGCTCATTTTGGAGCCGCAGGACTGCTGGTACGTGCCACTTACACCGCTCTTGAGTCGGATCACCGCGTTCACGGTGTCGATTGGTGCCAGGTGAGGTTGTGTCTGAGTCGTGAAGGCTGTCACATCGACAGCTGGATCTGTGAGGAGCTGTCGGGTCGCTGCAGAAAAGTGCACTCCGCCGTCGAGCAGGAAACCACCCTGAAACTCAGGCTTTGCGCGCCAAGCGGTGCCGTACCATTGAGAATCCTCGCTCATGTAGAAGAAGACTCGTACACTAAAGTGCTGCAGCTTTCCGAGGTTGGAGGCCTCTGCAGCGGCATAGTCGAACGATGGCTTGTAGCGAAAGTTCTCTGCAATCGAGAAGGTAGCTTTGCCTCTTAGACCACGGTAGTATTCGATCAACTTCTTGCCATCATCTACGGTGGGCGCAAGCGGCTTCTCGGCAAGGACATGCTTGCCAGCAGCAAGAGCAGCTCTGATGTGCTCGGGCTGGCTCGGGATAGGCAATGCGATTATAACAGCCTCAATGTCCTCGCGAGCAAGAAGGTCGTCAAAAGACTTGCCGGATCCCGAATCGGCCGAGTACAAGTCCGGGTCTTGTCCGGAGCGGGTGTTCAGGGCAGCCGTCTCCTTGGCCGACTTGAGGGAACGGGAGTAGATGGCCTTGAGGGCGAGGTTATCAGCCTTCATGATAGCAGGCTGTCGGGCCTCTGTTCAGCATTCTGCATACGTAATTGGGCGGTTGTATTGGGGGTTTCGCACCATGTGCGCCTGTTTAGCGAACAGGCCTCCGCCGATCAATGCTACGCCGATGGGAGCCATTGGTGATACTGTACTGTACTGTAGGGAGAGCTATTTTGAGGTTGTTGTTTGTTATCTCTGGGGTAATGAGTTGCTATCATATGTCGGCAGTTCTCTTGAGAGAATAGAGAGAACAAGAGTTATGATTATGATGTCTGTCTTGTTAGTTAGAGGGCGGGGTTTCCCCACCATCATGGAACCCCCACTGTCGATTCCACCTTGTTCTGTCTGTCTGTCGGTCTGTCTACGTAGAGATTTGTCAATCATGTTGGCCAAGGTGCATGCATATTCAGTTCAGCATACAATTCTCTACCTATGTACGTGGTATTGTTGAAACCCCTCCAAGTCTACGATATCTGGTCATCACGATATACGAGTGAGGTTACCATCTCCCCTGTCTAGAAATGCCTGTGCTTCTTGAAACCGTTACTAGTCCAAACCAACACGGAAATAACTCACCACCAAACCAAAGATTTAATGCATCATGGTAACATCGCATTTCTCACCGCCGCTACAGACCCCTGACGTCACTGAATATAAATATTCCGCCGGACACTTTCGGTATACTGTAACTTACTGTATGTGATGTAACTGTAACTCCACCCCCGACTCTTCTCCGCCACGTCGAGGGTATGTACAGACAGTATCACCGTGCCAAGCCAACATGCATAGAAGGGGAAAAGACGCATGAGAGAAGCTGAAAATCCGACCCTGCTATAGTTGCCCAAAGCAGTTCAGGTGTGGCAGGGCGTGTGCATGCATCGGCCGCATCTGCAATCTCCTCTTGTTGTAGGGTCAGTAATTATTGGCTCCAACTGCCATGAACACAATAAAACAAGAACAAGATAAAGAAGAGGACCCTGCTCAACTACCGCGATGCACTTGTACTGATCGGGCATGTATAAGCATCGCAACCGTTGGCCTCTTCTGTGCCGCGGATCTCACTCCGCAGAGCCTATGTGGCTGTCAGCTAACTAATCGACTACAACCGTAACATGCAACTGTATCCGCTACACTACCTTACCAGGCTTACCTTACCTTACCTACTAACCTTACAGGCTACAGCTACCTACTAACTTAGGTAGGTACCTACAGTATCTACCTAGCTACCTAGCTACAGCCTCCTTACACCTACACCTACAGGCAGTACATGTGCGTGATGGATGCAATGTGATGCAGTCAGTGCACTAATCAAGGTAACTTGTACTTATCAGTGGCATGTTGCTTCGTACCTGTTCATCACTTACCTTGGGTTTGCTTTTTCCTTCTAGGGCTCGGTATACGGTGAGCCTCATATCATCCCATCTCCCTACACCTTGGATCAATAACTCAAACCTTCAGCGACGCCCATGACACCACTTGCAAGACCAGGAATTCCGCTTACGCATTTCAACATCGCGATACCGTTACATTCAACCTCCACCGAATCCCCTGTAGATCCCTCTGCATTGCTCAGAACCCCCCACAAAACACCAGCCTTGGGCATTTTCCATCGCCTAGAGCGTCTCTCGTTCCAAGCAAGCCAAGCTCACAAGACAGACAGATATGACATATCGTAAACTTGTGCGGCATCTTCCGTACGTTTTGTCGCGCCATGTCATACTTGTACTGTATGTATGTCGCTCATTAGTGCCATTGACCTATCTAGACCTACAGTAGACTAAACCTTGAAACCCTCCTATCTCCGGAACTCGGGCCCAGGAACGCACTCGCTAGCGTCACTGTCACTGGCATCATCGACGCCTACGGTGCTAGAACTGGCATGCCGTCTCCCGTTTCTCGATGGTCGCCAAGCAAAGTCCCCTCCACCATCACCAACGTGACTGAGTGATTCTTGAAATTCCAAGTCGTAGCCGAAACTCAATTCTAATCCCTCCCTCCCTCCAGGTTTGCTTCACTTCACTTCACTTCGCTTATGTTGGTTAGGTATTGGTTGGTGCGCTTCAGGCGTGAGACTTTCGGATTCTACCAAGCTGCCGCCCGGTGCAGCAGGACAGGGCGTTCGTTCGGTTGGGTCCAACGAAGGTTCTGTTGTATTCCGCCCGCAGCGCAATTAGTGAGCCGTCCAGAGTTGAAACAGCTGATGTGGAAGGCAATTGCCTCGCGTTCTCGTCATCAATCATCCCTTGTCTTATAAACACCGTGGGTGGTGTTATTATCGTATCGTGTCTCGGGACTTACCCTGTACTGTGATGGAATTCGGAATCTTTGTATGTTTTCCGATTAATAAACTGAAATCTGTTGGAATGATTATGAATCAAAGTACATTCACTTTAGCATGTGTTGTTACAGTATGAGTATTATACTTTGAGAGACAACAACGAATTGCTCATTTCCCAAGAGACGGATGGGGGCCTAGGGTAAGCTCTTTGAGACGATATGTTCTACCAAGATACCTCCTGGTGTATATAATTGAAGTAGAATGATACCAGGCAAGTTCAGATGGAATAGCAATTATATAATTGATATACAGATAGATAAAAGTGGCATGCTACTCCGTACATAACGACGAATCGACCAAATCTTCCTAATCAAGTGTTGCAAGACCCATGCACGACTGACAAAAGATCCGTCAATGGAGTGCTGAAGGAAATGCAATCCGGTTTATACTCCTGCTTTTGTGAACAATTCTAAAGCAAAAATTGTTAACAATCATAGTTCCATTTCGTTAATCATGATATCTTGAATGGCTTCTCTGCAATCTCATTACACCGTCCCAGCTGTATCTTCAGCAATACCATGCCACTTGTTAAACACATTATTCGGATCATACTTCCTCTTCAACTCCCTCAACCTAGGCAGATTCACGCCCCAAGCATCCTCAGGCGATATACTATCAGCCTCAATATTGATATACACTCCCACAGGCCCCTTGCTCCAGTGTCCGCCCGCCGTAGCTGAATACCCATTCGTCTCCCGGATCCTCTTACACAGGCCCCTGTTGAACTGCCGTATCTCTGAATCGTAGGCTGGGTTCTCCCATGCAAAAGAAGTCATTGCGTCGTAATAGTCGCCGCGGTTGGCGTAGGCTGTTGCATCCTGGGGGACTTCTCGAATCTTGTCTGTTGGGAAGAACTCAATAGCCAAGACAGACTTGCCCATTCCATTGTGTGCTTCGCAGAATCCCCAGAATGTTTCTGCTGTTTGTACCATTGGTTCGATATCTAGAGGCATTGTGATGTTGCCTGAGCCCATGAGTCGTCGGATGCCGTGGTCCATTACGGAGTTGAGGAGCGTGTTCGTCTTCGCCGTCGTCATCATCTCCGTATCGTCAGCGGTTGCTTCTATCTCGAGGAGGCCAGAGAAATATCTCTTGGCATCTGCTTCTGAGCCATGGAATAAAGGGATAGTAGAGACGACACGGGCTGTCTCGTCAGGTCCAAAGCCAATGCCCAATGCGATACAATGCCCTTCTGAGTTGGGTCTTCCATACAACACATTCGCAAAGCGCAACAAGTCAGGTAGCTTATCAGCCGAGTACGCCAAAGTTCCGCTCCAGACTTTGTCTTGTTGATGAGCTCGAGATACGAAGCGAGTTACGACTCCAAACTGTGCACCAGCGCCTCGAATAGCCCAGAACAGATCACGGTTCGTATCTTCAGACGCTTCGACTATCGTCCCATCTGCAAGAACAACTTCCGCCTTCAACAAGTTGTCAATGGTAAGACCGTGTCGAGGTGTGAGAAAACCATGGCCTCCGCCGAGTGTAAGTCCTCCAACCCCTGTGTGATTGACGACACCTCCGACTGTCGCTAGGCCATCCCGCTCGAGGGCTATATCGACATCTTCCCATAGACAGCCCCCTTCGAACTCGACGTTCATGGCTTCTGCGTTGACTCTGACCTTTCGCATCTTTCGTAGATCAATGACCATGCCCTCTGATGACGAGGCACCGCTGGATGAGTGGCCACCACCACATACGGTCATTGGTATCTGATTCGAAACTGCAAATTTGACTGCCGTGGACACCTCTTGCGAGTTAATCGGTAACACGATAGCTGCCTACGCTATATGAGTATCGTGAGGGAAGTCGATACGGTCGACATACTGCTCTCTTCACGCAAGCCGCGCTCCATCTTTGCAACACTTCCTCATAGCCATCATCTCCAGGCAAGAGAACATCACCTGGCGATATATCGTCTCGAAGCGGAGTGAAGTCGTACATTGTACCACGTAATAACCAGATTCGGTGCCGTGCAATTTTGTGGACTGCCCTCTTAAAGTGGTAAGAAGCGGCATGAGAGGGAGTAGCAGGCTGTACATTATTCGAGGCAGAAGCGAGTATTTGACAGTTTATATGGTTTCACAAATGTTCTCAGTTGAGACATGTCGTCATTGAACATCTAAACGGATATGATCTCCGCGTTCAGAGACCATTCATGCCTCGTATCTGCATGTGACTGAAGACGGAACTTTGTACTCTGCAGAGCCGAGGCCTGCATATTTAAATATGTTCTGATGATTCCACATCAGCTGGTATATCTACAGGCGGTAATGCGCCTATCATCCCAAAGCCATATTTGTCCACCACTTTCTCTCCTCCCATAAGGTCATTCGTATGATCTTGCCCTCCTGCCAGCCATCTTTGTAATCTGAAGGATGTTTTCGCTATATGCTTAAAGACGTCCCAGTTTTCCATTCCGATGGACATCATTGTAGACATGGTCAAGGTCTTGATGAGACGGCCAGGACCGATTTTGTGACAATTTGTTACAAGGGCTATCATGACCCATGCAAAGATACCCAAAACTGATTTCCATGTTGCCAGACCAGAGTTCCAGATCGATAGCCAAATCACTTGAATGTCTTCTTCAGAACAAGCAGAGCTGATTGGGGAACGATTGAGGATCGCTTTGCAGTAGATCAAGGCCACTTTGCGGATAACGCAATACATAATGTCTGGAAGTAGGGAGGGCGATGAAGACTTGTCAGTTCTATGTGATCCCGCAGAACTACCTGGGCTCTCGACCGAGCTTGCTCGAGACGAATGAGAAGGTCTTGGAGTTTGGAGACCTGGTGTGTCTTCCGGTAGATCCAGGATTCTCTCATGAAACCACTGGGCCGTTGACAGAACCCTTTGGACGTGTTCAGAACTTGGATTTCTCGGTAAAGCTAGAACGGCTGAGAACAAGCTCCTCATGTCGTCGAGTATTTGAGCAGTGCTGAGGTGTAGTTGCAGAGAGTTTGAGCATTCTTTGAAGGATTGCCAATTGCTGATAAAAGGGGTGTTGAAGGCCGTGTTGAAAGGCATGGTACGAGAGTCTCGGAACTCGAAGCCGGGATGCCCATACATGGATGGCTTGATCTCATGTGCGAGCGCCATGACGATGTCGTGACTGTACCACGTCAGATTCTTGTACGACGAAGATCAAGACACCGCAGCAGCAGTATTCTCGACAACTGCTGTGCAACAACTTACATGAGAACCATCTTGGCCAGATAACCACGCAAACCGAGCTGAGACAGGCCACCCCTCAGGGTGATCATCCCTCTGAGACCACTAAGGTGGGCTTTTAAATCGTGCGTAGCACCCCAGTACCAAGAGTCTGCAATCATTTGGACAACACCAAGGACTAAAGTATCGCTCGTCTGTGCTTGTTGATCTGTGAGCTGAGAATTTAGCATTCGATAAACCTGGTGCTTGTGTGCGTATTGTAAAGCCTTGGAAAAATGACGGGTTTCGGACAACCAGCATGATGATGTGAATAAGACGATTTGGAGAAGGAGGGGATCTTGCAAAGTGCAAGGAATCCAAAAGTTCATGAACTCGTTGGCAGGATCTGGATTACCGTCTACTGCGCATTTGAAGCGTGAGAGTAACTGCAAGTCTAGACCACACGAATTAGTGAACAAGTAGGCAGAAATGACAAACGCGACTTACGAATGCGTACTAACTCCTTGTTTAACTTGGTAGGTTTCATGGGAAGATACTCTAGCTGTACTGCAGAGCCATCAACTGGCGGAAGGATATTAAACCACTCATCATGATCCTGAGAGCCCAAGATCTCCGTGACACGTTCATTGGAATAACTGAGTTTGGCTTTTGCGGTACTCTTTGCTGTGATGGTCAAGACAGACTGAGCTATGGTGTCATCGTCGTCACCATTTGCTGATGAATGAATCTTGTAAGGTAACCATAGATCGGTTCGTGGTTGTGTAGCGGAAGTGGCGACAGTTGTGCTAGGGCTAGTTGCCGAGGAAGATGGTGATCGTTCGTCTTCGAGATAATAAAGAGCGTCTTGGATAGACGCAGGGTTGAGATGTGAGTAAGGACCTTGTCGTACATCTACCACTAGAGGTGGCTTAGGACGTGAAGCTATTGGATGATGTCTAGAGCATGTTAGTCGCCGTAGACGAGACAATCTGGAAGGGCAGTAGTATAGACACACTGACCTTTTGGAAGACTTGACTTCATATATACATTCAGGTGAGGGAAAGCGGCGAAAGCAATTTGTACATGGTTGACTTTGAGAGCACTATAAGCATGTTAGTCGGGTTTTATCCGGTCGTAGGGAGTAGGTCAACATGAAAGTGGCAAATAATTAGGTTGAATAGGCAAAATATATACCAATTCAATGGACAAGTCCTCGGTGTGTTAAACTCACCTTTTGCTTGCGACGACGGCATTCAAGGCACGATGACGTTTGTCGCGGAGCTCGTTGTCGAGGTGCGACTTGCATCGGCGTGGCTCCAAGTACCGGCATCATCGTTCCACCAACAACTGTAGCGATTTCTTTTTTTTTCCCCTTTCTCGCTTTGCAATACCCCAAAAAAAGGCCAAATCGAGAGTGACAGGCGATCTGTGTTGGTAATATTTGGTGTCCCCTTGACGTCGCTCAAGCGATTGATTGGCTCAGCACTCCCAAATGAGAACCGGTCAGAGACACTGAGTGAAGTTGTTGGTTCAACGACAGGCCAGGCCAGGGGTCAACCAGGATTGCAGCGGCGGGTGGTTGTTGGTTCTAAATCCAAGATGCAGTAGTTTGCGCGTGCAAACCGAACTGCAGGGAGAAAAAGAAAGATGGGTGTGTCTGTTTTTGGTGTTAATGACTGAAATGCCCCGATGTTGTAGGGGTTCAATTGAGAGCCATGTTTGTTCCTCAAAGAGGAACAGAGAGAGCCGGGGAGAAGAAGAGCAGATGGGAATATATCTGATCTCAATTGAAGCGCGAGGCCGAGCGTCCTTGGGCCTATTGATCAAACGCGGCAACGGGCGGCTGTAGCCTGTAGCCTGAGTCCTTCTTCCAAGGCCTGGTCCAGGGAGGGATTGTCTGGTTGCAGCGCAGTATGCGTGTCTCTGGCGCAAAGTTCCGCGGATGCAGGGAGTCTCTTCCTCTTGCCTCTTGTCTTCTCTTCTCTTCTCTTCCTTGGAGTACGCGGGTGGTAGATGGATAGAAGGATCCAATATCGATGCAATGCCACCCCCAGTACAGTATCGAAAGAAAAAGGACCTTTCTTGTTTTCCCCCGTCGTTGAAGATGACAGAAACTCCGAATTCTTCAGAGGCGTTTGACAATATGCCAAGCAAAGCCAGAACAAAGAAATGTTGAACCAGGGCCCGCGTGTCTTTCCGTGGATGCCGATCACAGTGACGATACGGATACCCTTGCTTGCTTTTTCTTCTTCCCTCCCTTCTAGCGGATGTGATGGAACAAAGAGAAGAAAGTTGCCTGGAAGCGAGAGCAATACTGATACGGTACTGTTATGCACCTCTTGTCTTGTCTTGTCTTGGTCATGGCTAATCGTACCGAGTCTCGAACTTGGATTGACACGCCCTAGCCAGAAACGTTTGCCACAAACTCTCCAATTAAAGACGACAAGCTCAACCATGAATCGAAGGTTAAATCGTGAAGCTATCCCAAAACGGTCAAGCATAGTCGCGAATACCGACGGACGGGGGGATTCTCATTTTTTAGCTCCAAGGCGAGCTTTCAGCTGCCTCTTGGTACAGTAAGACTCGATCAGTCCATTGTCTCAGTTGACAGCTGCTGAGGATGAAAAGAGCGAACCGTGCGTTACATCGTAGAAGGACGTATAAGAATCCTACGACATCCCTCGAAGGAATATTCGTCACATAATCGTCGTAGACCAGAGGCAAACAGGGGTTGTGTACGGCGGCTTTCTTACTTGCCGTACGATCTATCAAGGCCTAGGCCTCGCTCGGCAGGGCAGGGAACAATCAGTGGGGGGCCGGATGCTACCGCGAGCCGTCGTATCAAAGATCTGCCTACCCGCGATCCTAGAGCTTTCAAATCCTCCGAGTACCAACGGATCGAACAATGAGGCAAAAGAATTCCAATAGATTCCATTTTTCATTTTAATCAAGCTTCATATCTGTGAAGAGAATAGGCAGTCGTTATGAAGAGAAAGCTTAGTAGTTTCCATTATACAAGTACACCCACTTTGACCAACAGATATATAGCTATTAACCCAGCATCTTTCCGTCAACTTCATAGCATCAAGTACATTCAATGGTTCGCATCCAAGTGAAACCATGTGGTATCTAGTCGTGCAGAATCAGAAGAAAAAAAAACAAGAATCATCATCACCGATTCATCCACCCTCAACGCCAGTCTTATAGTCGTTCTAGTTCTCGTTTCATGGATTTTCGTGGATTCGAGCTCATGGTCAAGCTCGAGACGTCATTTTTAAAAGCCAAACTCAAATCGCAAAGGATTGTCTCATGAACAAGCGGCATCAAAATATGCTTATCTTCCCCGGTAGTCGGGCTTTCTGGCCATGTTCACGGGTGGGGGCTCGTCATCGTCTAACGGATAAGGAGGCGCGGCAGCAGGCGCTCTTCGACCTTGATGTTGCTGGCTCTCCGGGAGAGGCGTCTTGGGTGGCAGCGGCGGCGGTTCAATCCGTGTCGGTGGCGGCGCGGCCATGTTGGGAGGTGGCCTAGGATACTCGTCTGGACTGACAATAGCGATCAAATCTTGGCCCGACACACCTTCGCGGTACTGCGCAGGTGTAGGTGATGATACTGCCAACCGATCCTCTGGGTGTAAAGATGGAGCGCTGGCGCTGGGCCCACGGGGTCCTAGGGGAGGAGAGTTGGGAACATTATGCGGTACAGACGTTTCTGCGTGTATTCGTTCGTTGGAGCTTCGTGGCGAGCCGTTATGGTTGTTGTTTTTGCGGATATGTAAACTGTCTGACCCCGACTCGAACGAAGACCGGCTCGCGGGGCTGTGAGGAAGTGGAACAGTAGTTGGAATATCTCCTGCAAGCTCGAATGCCATAGGCATCTCCCATGTGGTTGAAGTTGACTTGACAAGCTCTGGGATTCCTTCCGGAGCTCGTGCGTGACGGATCCTGGCCCGGTGAATTTTCGCAAGCTTTGAAGAGATGCCTTGGATCATCCTTTGTTCGGCCTCCCTTGACATGTACCGTCGAGTACCAGTGCTGATTTCACCCAGTCGGTTCCACTCATTCATTCCAAACTCACCAACACCAACTTCCACATTAAGGCGGTAATAGGCGTCGATACTGACATTTCGCCTTCCAAGGTGCTCGCGCATCATGTACTCGTGTATCTTCTCGCAGCCCTCGATCTTGGCGATCAACTTCCTACGCGCGTCGGCAAAATCACCCAAGAAGCCTTCATACCACATCTGAGAATTCGAATCACTACCCTTGGGCCGTCTGCCAGTACCGACGCTAACAAAAACACCCACTTCGCGACCGGGCCATTCGTTGACCACAGCTTCGTCCAGGGCTTCTGGGCTAGGGTTGAAAGTGCCGACACCGTCATCGTGAAAAACTGATTGACCAATGGTGATGGGCTTGAAGGCCAATCCGATCGCACAAGTGGCTCGACCGGCCTGCCAAATCTTGCAGTCGAACTCGGGAGGAGGTTCTTTTCGAGAATCGTAGGATCGCAAAAGAGCGGCGGGTGAGCCCCGAGGAGAACCCTTGTAAACTGCCGTTACCGCACTAGAAAATATGTTAGCAATGCTGTCATGGGCAAAAGGCAATCGAGGTATGACTCACGTTTTGGTGCGGTTTTCTCGATGATCGTATAGGCGCGCGTTAGGATCGCCGTATCTCGAGTTATACGCAGGTCGATACGCCATTTGCGACGCGGGACTGCGAGCGCTAAAGCTAACCGTGCTTGCATTGCTCTGGTTTCGGCGAGGGGCACCGGCGCTTGAGTACATCGCTGCGTTGAGAGGATTGGTGAGGGGAGAATCTGAGCCATCGTTGCCTTCCCTCTCCTTCACCGTGTGTTCTTGCACAGCTGCCTTGATAGCCTCCTCGAGCTTGCTGGCCTTGAACAAGGTTGATCTATAAGGAATACCCGCAATAGTCTTGTCGGTCTGGAAAACCATGCGTGTTAGACGAACGTAGAGCTCCTTACACGTCTCGAGGTCAAGACGCAGTCGACCCAACATCAAGGCGATCAGCCCGCCTGTACCAGTACCGACGATTAGATCGAAATGATCGCATGGCTTGGGGATTTCGTGGCGCTTGGGAGCGCGGCCTTCGATCTCGACAAAAGTTCGGTGCATAAGCTCCTGGATGATAATGAACATGGAGTAACCGCGGACACCTCCTCCATCTGGCGCGTGTTAGCATTGGATCAAACAAGGCAGACGTCATCTCGGCGGGCGCTTACCGAGCGATAGAACTCGAAGAGGCGGGCCTTTGGTGGTATCCTTTCTCCTGACTCCGCCGGAGTCCATGGGCGCAGAGAACGTAGTTGCGTTGCGGCTTGCGCTTCAATCGAGTAAAGAAAGCTGAGATACAGGCGATTTGGGAGTTTGTAAAAGTGTCGCTGTCCCACGAAGCTGTTGGTGAGCTGTAGAGGGTCTTGGCTCTTGTCACTTATCGAGATCAGGTGGGCGGTTGTGTTGAGAGGGCTGAAGCTGATCACGCCGCGTGGGCTAAGATGAGTGCTCTTTGATGTTTTGGATAAGTTGAAAGTTCACGTCAAGATTTGATTGATCTAGGTACAGTAAGGCAGATTGTGGGCAGCCCAGTCATAGTCATAGTTCCCAACAGAGCAGTTCTTGGCTGGCAGTGAGCAACAACCCAAGACTAAAAGAGTCGGCACTACGTAACGTAACGCAGGTCGCCCCGCCTCATGGAAGCCCAGGGCACCTCACCACAGCCATTTTTGGATCCATCATCCCTGGAAGCCCTGACGCAACAGTGAGCGGACCTCTCGGATTTGCGCGCGAGCCAGGCTCGTCAGTGGAGGAATCTTGGAAGCCTCTGCTGGGAACAGCGAGATGGTGCCCCTCGACCCCTGTAAATTTCGAGTCTTTGACTACAGAGGCGACGGGAACTTGCCCAGGCCTGGAAACTCACGCGCCACTCGACATCCTGACAGCGGCTTGTCTTGTGGTTGGACACAAGACATTTCTCCTGGCTACTGCACGTTTAATAGAGGACATGGGGGATGCAGAGGATGATCGCCGAATCCCTCTGCTCGTCCAGTACGCGTAGAAATCATGAGATCCAGTTGTCTGGGCTGAAACGATGATACCATAAACTCTACATCCCGTCCGTCCCATGTGGTGGTTCGCAGACACGAGACGGCTAGAGAGTGGCTGTGTAAGCTTGGCTCTTCTTTTTTCGACTATCCCATGCTCTCCCGCCCGTTCACGGGTCCATCGATTGTTCTTGGCATGTTCCAAAAGCTTTGGCCTTTTTTCCCCCCTCGATGATCTTGGCTTGTGGTTTGCAGAGAAGAATCGCC